ATTAATAAAATTTATACCACATTTATATACAACCTTGGTCAAAGCACAGAAGGGCGTAACACTTTAGATTCTAATGCAGCCCAGTACATCGGCAGTTTATCAGGACGTGACTTTAACACCATTAAAATGCACCCTCTCACTTTGTGAACGTCAGTGAGTACCATTGAATTTCTAGTTATGCTGATATTGAAGCTGTTGTCATTTAATGTCATTTTTTAATTATTATTTTTATTCCTAGGGTCCTCCTGCATTGGTGCTGATACACTACCCGGTGAAACTACAGTGCACACTTGAGTTCCTCAAATGGTACAAATTGAATTCTTTATCATTATTAGAATTACAAATAGTTCCTAGCATACCCTGCATGCAGTAATGCTGAGTAAACTCTCTCTCTCTCTTTTCCTTTCCTTCTTTTTTAAAGGTGTTTCTTTTCAATAAATCCTGGAAGAAGAGTAAGTGTTATTGGTCAATCCCAGAGTCTTGACACTGATCTCAGACTTTTCCAACCATGTTGAGGGATGATGTGATAAAAGGTACGTTTGATATGATATACACTGCAGATATTTTGTTGTTAAGGGTGTGTACCTATTAAATCTGTCCACTCATTTTGCTCACTGCAATCATTTTAAAAAGAAACGAAACTAATTTTGTTCTCACCCTCTCTCTCTCTCATGAAGGAGTTTCTTCTCATCTACAGAGTCACCAAAGTTGAGTGTAAAAAGAAGAAAATAATCGCTGGCTTTTTCAAACTGTTACAGTTTTAAGTAGAGTGTTTTTACGTTTTTACTGCAGTTTATTGTGCTGGCAAAGTTGGAAACATTTGGACTTCAAATAAAGAGTTTGCATTGGAAAGTACTACGGTGAATGTTTTTTGGAACATTAACTAATTTAACAATATTAATTCATGTGCTGTGTATGAAGTTTACAGAAAAAACGTAGGGCTGCACTACATAAGGATTAAAAATGCACATCCTACATTTTCACTATCACGCATTTACTGTAATTTTTAGGGAATTTCTGTTTGGACCTTAATATTTGCAAGAATTTATGGTATCTTTTACAGTTTTTTACAGTACATTTGTAGCTTACAATTTATACTGTTAATTGTACAGAAAAATAAGGAATCAAGTCAACATTATCAAGCCGTGAATTAACCACGGCTGCCTGCATTGTACTGTTAAAATAATAATAAATACAAAAATCCCCATGTAAATTTTAAATTAAAACAATGTATTTTTCAAATTTTAGAACTTTTTTTTAACAGTAAAATACTGAAATACATACAGTTTTTTACCGTAAACGAAGAAAGTGTTTTACTGTAATTTTACGGCACTTTTTCGGCAACCACGGCTGCCGGTACTTTACCGTACAGTGCACATCACTATGAGGGTTTGGGAGTTGGGCTGGTCTGTATCCCACAGCCCATAAACTTCCGCACCTCAATTAGTAACTTTCAAAATAACGTCAATAAGCATTGACTTAAAAGTAATGCAACATAATAGAGCCCGATTTCAATAATCAACACTACCAACCAACCAACACAGTGACGTCACAGAAGACTGTTACAACACAGACATTAATATGACAGCGCATGAAACCGTATACTATACTACGGTTTCACGAGAAAGAAATACATCTATCTCACTATAAAAGTAGCCTCAACAACAACGAATTATTCAAGGAAAACGAATCTACATACACTAATTTCTGACTTGTTTTACCTGGTTTTGCTCCAGAGGTTCCATCGCCATGAACAAGGAGTCGTTTTAGTAACACATCCCCGTAGTCTGATCAAGCTGTGCAGCCTGTGCAGCTTGTGCAGCACAGGATGTTTGTGGTCGCTGCGTCTCTGAGATCACTCTAATATCGTTGCTAGAAAGCTTTGACCGCAGCAGTCATGTGGAAAACAAAAAAACGTCCGGTAGAAACAGACAAAGCCCAAGGTTAAACCCACCACTGTATAACTTATTATTCCCTCACGTATTTTAAACGCCTTTCGACCAGCAGGTAGCTAGCGTTGACGCTCCATGAACTTCATAAGAGGAAACAAGTTCGGCTCCTGTGCTGTGATTGGATCGCACTCTAACCAAATGAATCGCTCACCTGAATTTTCTATAAATGCGCGAGATATGATCGCGACCCGGATGAATTAAATGCTATTACGTGGCGATAGACGATTCATGCAATTACTGTCCCACGGAATTGACTTAGTCACATGACATTACACTCACAGTCATAATCGTAAAATATTCCCATCTTCTCATGAATAGTCTCCTCTGACATTAAACATAAGGGCATCGTTGAAACTAGTCACGGCCGGTTTTCGTCCCGCTCTATCGGCAGCTACAGCATCCTCCAGGAACATGCAGCAGCCACAGCAGGAGGAGGAGAATGAGAGGAGGAGAAGCTGTCCGTTCCTCAACTTGGATTCACCTTTGGTTTTCCTCGCCATCTGCTGGAAAGACGTGCAGTGATTTACCGCCTGTCTTGTTTAAACCAGACAGTAGGGACTTCATAATTCAATCGGGGAGGCTTTTAGTCGATTGAATATCTCCTAAAACGATAACCACATTGTTATTTTTTGCCTTGTCATCTGTCGTGTCCGCTTTACGTGCCGTATTCGATCACACTTTTCTGTTGTTTCAGTGACGTTAAACAAGCAGTTAATGTCCACACAGTAATGGAATAGTTCAAGATTCGTAAATCTGTTAAGTGTCGGTGTATGTGTGCCTCACCTGGTGGTAATAGGAAGAAAACACCCTCACTTTACATTTACACACAACATGTAATGGAACTTTTTCAATACTCTTGAGGTTCCGCCCATCATCACAGTACAGTGTGTGGTTTTTAAAGTCAATCCTACCTGCAACAGTTCTGTCTTCTTCTTCTGTGTGCCTCAGCATTGTCCCACTGAAATTGAAGAAGAAATTCATCCTGCGTGATGAAATGGCATGTGTGCCAGCGTGTGCTTCTTGGGGAAGATGTGTGTTGTTCTGAGGTGAGTTCCTTGTGCTCAGCTCTCTCCACATTTCTGCCTATTATTCTCTAGGGGAAGAAGAGCTCTCTCTCTCTCTCTCTCCCTCTCCCTCTCCTCCCCCTCTCTCTCACTCCCTCCCTCTCCCCCACTCTCACTCCCTCTTTGAAAGTTACAGCTCATTATGCTTTCCCATGCCCCACAGTCAATCTTCATTCATTCATTCAAGGTCTCTTTTCCCACAATCATCTTTTTTTCCACCACTCCCTCTGAATGAATGGACTTTGAAGTACGGTCTCTGGTAAATCCGTGTATCATTAAAATGCAGTAAATACAGTTTTATGCAGGTGTGTACATTAACTATACACCCTGCCTTTTTTCCAGCCACCTAAAAGTAATTGTATAGAAAGTGTAAACTAGTTTTTTGGGTTTTTTTTTTTTAATGTCCTTATGAAACTATTATGGCTGGTGCTTCATTTCCACGGCATGGAAACAATCTGCCCTGACGAAACAGGTCCAGAAGTTGCTTCAATGCAGTACTGTCGACCAGTGTCCACTGCTTATAGTCCTCGCCCCCTATGTTTTCTTTATAGAAAAAAAAAAAGCTTGGAGCCTTGTGCATTTTAATGGTGTATAGCATATTTCAACTTATTTTTTTACTTTTAAAATAAACTTTAACTTTATATTTGGAGACATACAAAACTTTTTTTCTGTTTTTCAGCTTAGACATCAATGAGTACTGTATGAAGTTTTGGGACCAAGTGCTTCAAACTGTGGTTCAGCTGATTGTTGGTGAGAAAGGAGAAATCTTTTTATACAGCATCATGAAAATCCGCTCCAAGATTATTGGACGCCGTGCCGTTAAAATACCTAAGGTCACTCTGGGAGAGCTGTGAATTGCAGAGTATTATTAGTCCGACCCTGTTTTCTCACTCCAATTTACTTTAATGCCCTCAGAGTGGCTTTATCATGTACCCCTGAGGAAAAACAAATCGCTACATAAACGTCTTTATTTCTTCCACTATCACTAGTTACAACAGTACATTTTTTTCTCTTCTGGTCTATGTGTCTGCCCGTTTAACAGCAGACATGGCCAACACGTGGCTTAGGAGCAGAATGCGGCACTTTGCCCGGTTTCATGAAGCTCTTATGTTCATGTCAGATTTAGGGTTTGTGTTTTTTTATGATACGCAAATCTAACGCGCATGGGTGTTGATGAACATGAGTTAGAGGGTAAATCCATTGATATATACAAATATATATATAGATATACATGTACGTATGTGTATATATACACATACATATATAAATACATATACATATATATACATACAAACATACATATATATATATTTTCCGCAACATAAAGTGCACCGCATTATAAGGCGCAATATCAATGAACGGGAATATTTTTTAGACATAAGGCGTATCGGGTTGTAAGGCGCAATAACCAAAACAATTAAGCGGAACAATCAAACATGCCCGGATCACTCTCGTCATTATATGAGTGAGTCTCGTTGCTGTTAATTAGTTGTTCAGTGATGATTCCGACCTTCGTGAAAGCTCAGACGACATTTGAGACAAGATACGATACCTTAGTCCAGGTATCCACGATCCGTCCGGCGTTGCCTCCGTCTTGGTGAATGTGTGTTCGCCTTCTGTCATCCAATGCTTCCACGCAGCTCGCAATTTAACTTTGAACGTCCTGTTAACACCAATATTTAGCGGTTGGAATTCTTTGGCAAATCAACCAGGAATGATGATAAGCCCCGAATTAGTTTGCTTCACTTGGGTTTTGACAATATCGGTGAGATGGGCGCGCATGGAGTGGCAGATCAATACGGACAGAGATTTGTGGAAAATTGTAGTGATCTAAGTTGGACACTGGAGGACGCTGTTGTTGTTTGCCCCTCCAGAGTCAGGCGGTTGTCACTATTTTTGTTCTGGATGGTCACTGTATTGTTGTTTTGACGCTGTTCCGTGGCGAATTGCGGATGTTGTTTTGCAGAGAGTGTGTGTTTTTTTCCTGTATCGATACAAAAAAGGAGAAATAAAAAGAGTTCTTGACCACGAAAAAATCGACAGCCATGCGTCTGAGTCGTCCTGTATCGCACCATACAGTACATCGACAATTCAAAAACACAACGTAAAGTCTCCGGGTGTTTGGAGGTACGACGCGATGTTGCACGGATTTGGGTTACACAACTAGACTGTAACAATTGTTGTTGAGCATCTTCTAATTGTCATTGTTGACTCCCACCTTGCTTCAGTTGTGTGACAGCATGTGTGATGCGCTGTGTGGTTTGACTTTATAAACTCGGTTCGAGCTCAGTAAGCACAACCAAGAGTAATACATACGGCGCACCGAGTTATAAGGCGATGTAGAGTTTTGAGAAAATTACAAGTGCGCCTATAGTGCGGTACATGCATATATAAGGGCTCCTTGACTTCTGTCCGAGATGCGTTCCAGCAACGTAATTTGAATCTATATATTTGTGAATATATGTGTGTGTGTGTGTGTATATATATATTCACACGCATACTGTATATATATGTATTTTAATTGTGTTTAATCCATATAAATCAAAATCCTTAATATTACATGAGCATTTCTTTCTATATTTTTTGCTGAAACAAATAACAGCTGGTGTTGTATGTTTGTAGATGTATGTACAATCTGAAGGGTGGAATTATTAAAATGTCAGGAAAAATTTGCATCTTCATATCTTCTATGTTGCTTCAGACGGTGCCTTGTAGAACAGACCGGTTTTGCTTTCCAAATTCCAAATGAGTACATAAACACATAACCTGTGAATGTTACTGAATGGGACTAAAAATCAGTCTGTTTTGTTGGCCGGCTCCATAAAAAGACCCATTACATGAATTTTGTGCCCGGGCTACCATTTGTTTCTAATGGCTAATGTCTCCTGTTGGAGTGAACTCTTTAATTACTCAATCATTATGGCCCCTCAGACTTGAGCCGTATCAAAACGTGTCCCAAAACTAGTGAGTCCATTAGGCAGTGTCTCTAACACCCCTGTCCTTCTCTGTTAAACAACTGCCAGTCTTGTTGAGTGAATCAGCACAGCACAGCCACTCTTCCTCCGGGGTGCTTGCTTTTCATGCTGCCAAAGTGTCTGAAAGATAAAGAAGAGGTGTCTGAGAGATGGAGATAAAGTTAAGCTTCAACTTAATCTGGTGGTTGCATAATGTGACATCAGCGTGTGGTTGGTTTCTTGGTTTCTTCACTTCCTGTTTACCGCCGATCATCCACATCTTCATCGTACATCCGACGATGTTTTGATCCAGCACTGCCTTATAAAGCCAGTTCAGTTCGAGCAATGATTTATTCACAGTAAAAATGTGAAATAATTTTTTTTAAAGCAAATCGTGTGCTTTGTTAAATGGAAAAAAATGCAAAAAATAAGGAAATGTAAAAAGGTTTTTTTCTCCACAGTATATGGTTGTAATATCCATGGCAATAAAAAAAGTTTTTCTGTATACTTACTGACTGTTCTATAGTAAATGTGAAGTAAAAGTATTTTAAGTACTTTAACTTTCTGTATTTTTTGAGTATTTTCCAGTGCATCCTGTGAGACATGCTATGACGTTTGTAGCCAGGTCATTTTGACACACTGTCCTGAGAATTTATCTCTTCACCTCCAGGTGTTGGTTTCATGGCTGTAGGCCTCTATGGTCTTCAGGTTGGTGGTTCCATCGCAGCCTCCCACAGCCAGCAGGACACCGTTAAAGACGACCAGAGACATCTGAGGCACCGTGGACAAGACATTATTAACATTCCCACAACATTTATAACACTTTATTTCCCTGAGGGTTTATAACAGTCGTCGCAGAACTTGCACACTCATCAGTTCAAACTTTTTTGATGACAGAAAATAACAAGATTATTCTTCTTTTCCTTCCTCCTCTTTCCTTTACTTGCCATTTTTACCTTTTCCCCTTTTCCATGTTTTTTTCTTTCTTATCACACATTTAATCTATTCCTTCTTTCTTCTTTTTTGTACCTTTCTTTTCTTTTCTACTATCTTTCTCCTTTTCTTTTCAGGACCTTTCTCTACATTTCATTTTCATTACTTTCCTTCTATTCCTCAACTTTCCCTTTTTCTCTACCTTTCATTTCCTTGGTTGGCCCTTTCTCTTACATTTCATTATTCATTTCTTTTACACTGTCCCTCTTTTCTTGTCCTGCCCATTGCTGTCTTTCTTTTCTTTTCTATAACCCCCTCACCCCCGCCGCCCTTTTCTTTCTCATGTCCTTTTATGTCATGAGCCCAGAAGGGAGTGCTGTCATCTGTGCACGTCATTACTCACACTGTCCCTCTTACTCCTCATGTGTTTCACAGGGGACCACGTCATGGTCTCAGGGTCAAACCTCTCCATAGCACAGAGCTGCAGGCTTAGCTGATCTTTACCCCCGCCCACGTAGATGTGACCCAGGTAAACGCAGCAGCCGGCGTTCTCCCGAGGACAGCGCATGTAGGAGCATGTGGTCCAGGTGCCGTCCGCTGGACTGTAGCGCTCCACTGGAGGAATAGATCGGAGGAAAGCACCCGTTAAAGAGAACAGTGGATAACAGTAGATAAACGGTCAATCTATAAAGTAAATACATGAGTTTTCATGAATATTTAAACGAAACACAAGCCTATGGGAATTTACCCCGCATTCCCTTCTCACAGCCTGAAGTAGAGTAAAATGACAGCATGACAGAAACCCTGTTTATATTTGCAAGGTCAAGGGAACGTCTGTGTGTGCATATGTGTGTTTGACTGTTCTGGAGTCTCCTTGAAAAGCTATGGTAGGAGGTTGAGGCTTAATTTAGCATCACTTTTTATCACCGCTACTCAACCGCGGCCTTAAACGACTGTTTTTTATGATTGTGTTGTTCTAATGTTTATTTATGCATTTCGTCAAGGCCAGGATTCTTTAATTATGGCAGGCGTTAAAGTCGGGGGTTTTATTCTGAAAGCGTCCGGCTGAAAGAAAAAAAAAGAGAAACATCCGGTCTTGAAAAGGACAAAGTGGGTCAAAAGTACGTGACGGACAGCAGAGAAGTTTAGTTTAATTTTTAAAAAATGTAATTAGCGCCTGGCTGATACGGGCACAAGGTTTGTTTCTATTGCTTTTTCTATGTGCTGTTGAATGTGTAGTTTGATGCTGTTGCTAGTTTCAACTTTTATAATGTGTTTTAGCTAGCACGAGCGACAATTAGCATTAGCAGACCTATCGTGTTGGTCCAGATTACGTTAGACGGAGGCAGATAATTTATTGGTCACTCTGTTAAAAGCAGCAAAATGTGTTTGTGTGTTCACTTTGGTTAAAACTATGCGTTTAAGTAAAATGAACAGTTATAAGATACATTATTTTATTTAGTAAATCTTTAAGGGCGGGGCATACACTGTACGATTTTAGCCCGTTTTTGACCCGATTTTTGAGACGCACGATATGGCGACTCCTTATTTTCCGTTTCGTCTTCTTCCGTACAGTGTACAGGGGGTAACGAGAGCCGATTATCTGTTCCCGAACCACCGTCGGACGGTCGGGATAATTTCTGACATGTCAGAAAATTTGGTCGTCCGATAATTTTTTTCGCACAGTGGAAGCAGAGCCCCGAGTCAACCGGAGCATTTCTCCCTCAAGTGATAGTAACTATGGCGAGGCGTCGGTGGCATGAAAATATGGAGGCGAGATTGATAGAGCTGTGGCACCGTCCACAATAACCGTAATAACGCCACAGCTACACTAATACATCCAGATAAGGTATTAGTTTTAGTTTATCTTAATAATAAATAATAAATAACGTTATTATATATAATAATTTGTGATTAATAACATTTGACAAAAGCAACTAAAACTACAGTTTTCCTCTGTATTATAAACTGTGTTCCTATGTATTATAAACTCCATTACATTCATTTTAAATGCATTGAATGAAACTATTTCCATTTGTATTTAATATTTTTTATCTTCTATCCCATTGTTTCTCAAAGACTGGGTCACAACACTCAAGTGGGTCACAAGGGATTATTTTAGGTCTCACATCATGTTTCCCCGGAGTTTACGAATAATGTCTATTGACTTGGGTCGTGAAGGTTTATGACTTTTAAAATATGGGTCCCCAGAAAAAAGTTTCTTTCGACTGTTGTTGTTGTTTTTCTCACCTGAATTCAAAACCGTGTGACCATCGTTTCCCCCAATCACATACAAGTAACCGCCCAGCACTGCAGCAGCTGCTCTGTTCCGTCTGGTCAGCATCGGCGACTGTTTGCTCCATGAGTTTGTTTTCAGATCATATCTGAAATAATAATTACAAATAAAAAACACACTTTTCTTTGGTTGTACGTACATTTAGTACAACAAGTACAACTCTAAATACTACAAATGAACAACAAACATCCATAAGCAAAATATTAACCAATGTTCATAGGAGGCGTAGCCTCAAGTGTAACATATGAAATCACCTTGTAAAAGTCTGTTAGGGCTGTTAGACAATTAAAGTTTTCAATCTGATTAATTACACGGTAGCTGTGGCTTGATCATGATTAGTCAGAATTTTAATTGTGATTAATCACTACCATGATTAATTGTAATCTCCATAAGTTGCAATTAATCATGATTAATTGAGTTTTTTTCTATATATTGCTGGAACAAAAGGACAAATAACAGCAGGTTGGTGCATGTCAATCACACATTTTCTTTGGGACTAATCCAAATGAAATTGAAAGTGAATTATTTGTCATTGTGACACAGCATACCACTGCACACACAACGAAATGTGACCTCTGTTTTCAACCCATCACCAAAGTGAACAGTGGGCAGCGTATAAGCGCCCAGGAATCAGTGTGCCTTGCTCAGAGCACCTCAGTGGTAACTTGGCAGCTGGTGGACTTGAACAAGGAGCCTTCCAGATCCTTAGTGGAGTTCAGTCATTACTCTGACTACTGAGTTTTGCCTAATAAATTGTTATATATTTTTCCCCACTGAATTAATAATAATAATAATAATTAAAAGTTATTAAGGGCCAGGTCACCATATTTTAAATTTCAAATTAGTTCCCATTTATTCCCACTAATTTCTGTTAACTCACAAGAAATCCCCTGAAAAAGTCCCAACTTTGCATCAATGTACAGGACCAATTATAGGGACAGTTTAAGTCCGGGGTGTCAAACTCATTTTAACCAGGGGCCACATCAGCAATACAGTTCCCCTTGAAGGGCGAGTTGTAAATAGAAGACTGTATAGATCATGTATAGAATATATAGACTTTAGTGAATGCTTTTTAAGCTCCTGCGTGCCACACAAAAGGGCTTGGCGGGCTGTATTTGGACCCCGGGCCTTGAGTTTGACACATATGGTTTAAGTCTATTGGTGATTCATCCTTAAGACAGTTACACAGTAATCATTAGGATCAGTCCATCGTACCTCTCCACAGTGTTCATGGCAGTTATACCGTCATGTCCTCCAATGGCATACAAGTAACCGTCCATCTCCACCAGACACACTCCACTGCGTGGGCTGCTCAAGGGTGCTACGTCTGTGCTCCAGCTGTCTGTATCTGGACTGTACCTGCAGTGACAGACGTCAGGAAGTGTTGAACTAATTTGAACTTTATGCACCAGACTGTGTTTCTATATCATGACATGGGTTTCTTTGCCATCATTTAAAGTAAAAAAAAAACAATGACTGGCTCAACTTTTGGACATCATAAATACCCAGAAAACGCTGCTGCTCGACAAAGTCTATTTAAAGCTCATTCCTCCATCCAGGGATTTCCACCGTGGCCCCCAGCCAACTAGGAGTGATCATTTTAGGGTAAATTGCCTAGCTTTCAGTCTGTGGGAACTGGGAACTCAGCCAGCTCCTTCCAACAAACATCTGATGCAGGAGTACGGGATGGGAAAATGTGCTTTTCTAAATGTGTTTTTTTCTACGTAAACTTTCTTTTCCTACGTAAGAATAAAAGCTTCGGTAACATGAGTTGATGAGGGTGATTACAAAAAAAAAAAAAACCCCTAGGTCAGGGGTTAACAACCTGTGGCTCTTGAGCCATACGGTGCTCTTTAGCCTCTTAGCGTTGGCTTTCTGCAAGATCATGTTTGTTGTTTGTGAATGGACCGATTAAACCTGACTCAAAATCAATGCCAATGCATCGTATTGTTCAAGACTATATGTAGATAGAATATGCTATAGAAAAGAACGGTAACATTTTACTTAAGGGTCAAGTGATAAAATCGTCTCTTTTACCCTGTAGGGTTGCAGACCTTGGGTTCTCTGGTTCTAGTTTCTGTTGCAATACTGCCCTCTAGCGTTCACAGATATTAATGCAACACCAACAAATGTGTGCACGCTTTATAAAAAAGCAGGCTTTATGCATACAGTAATATATTGAGTGTGTTATAGAAAATACGGAACACTACAGTATAGGAGTTTGAATTGGTCTTTGCCTGCATTGAGAAATGTGCATATTTTTGTGTGATATAACAGATAACCAACAATTAATGGACAACAACAACTTCATCTGTACTATTATTACAGTATTTAGAACTACAAACTAGAACAAATACTGCAATATTGCCATTATTTTAATGCAAAATTGGTTTCGCTAGACAGGCTACTTCTGAAGAGAATCGTACGGGAAATACAACATGTACCTCAGTGTCGACCCACCTCTCCACACTGTTGTAACACCTGATGCTATCTTCTCCACCTACTGCGTAGATCTGTCCAGAGAGCGTACCAACAGCCACAGCGCCACGGTTTTTGAGCATCCGTGCGGCCGTCCTCCACTCATTGTACTCTGAACAGAACTGTTCCACCAAACACGAGGGGTCTTCCTGTGTCCACCCTCCAACTACCAAAGGACAACAAATATATTTGTTACTATTATTAATGATCTCTGCAAAAATTACTTTTATGCCACATATTTCTGACCTTTGTTTTTAAATTTATTAGTCTACTAGGGTGTATCGGTTAAAGAATCCAGTGACAATTTGCATTGGTTAAAAAAAGCATAATGAGAAGTAGCGAAAAAGTTACTGGTCGTACCATAACACTTCACCCTTTAGTCCAGAAGGTGACAGTAGGCGTTGAACAGATTCCCGTTTAAACCGAGTTGATGGAACCATACAAACATCATGGATTTGACAGCCAATCAGAACGAACTATGCCTAGACCTTTTTAACATGAGGCATCGACAGAAAGTTGTTTATCACTTTTGTTTTATTGTATAAATCGATTGTAGGGTTCGACACTAAATTACCTGTCTGCACAAATGTTCGGACATTTACTTTGTTTTTGTCCTTCCTCAAACAAAGCTGGAAAAATCCAGACCGAGTAAATGTGATGTTGTGTTGCGTTAACACATTTGCCAGCCCTGCTGTCACACTGCTTGCTGCTGGGTCACACCTCATAATGTCATGCCCCTGTTGTGGCTTGACAGCTACATTGGTGTTCTAAAGCCAGGACAGATGTTTAGTCTGTTGAGTCTGTTTACACAGAACAGCAGGTTATCACCACGCATAAAATTCCCCTTCTGAACAAGTTGCATAAAAAAAGACTTTAGTTTCATAGTGTACATGCCGGAGCCTCAGTGAAACAAAACCCATGAATTTACATGAAACATATGAGCAGCATGTTCTTTAAATATTAGCATGTAATCTGATGTGCAAATATACTACTGTCCACAAAAGGGAGCAATTACAGTAAACCATAGATCTACTGTACTACTGAGCTACCCTACTGTGAGATTTCTGATCATTTCATCAGTAAGTGCAATTGAAAAACTAAGGTCTCGTGCCACTGGTGGTACATAAGCTCCCCTCTGGTGGCCTGTGTGGGAATCTGATTTCCACTGCAGGATGAGATGAGAACGGCCTCCCCTGACTGATTAATAGCATCATGATAAATAAATATTTGTCGCTGAACAGCTTAGCTCTCAGCTGCTGTGTTTGAACGATGTTCACACTGGTGTTACAAACCATTTATGTATTTTCAGGTTTTTTCAGAGGTAAATAAAAAACCAAAAAAACTCACCAACAAACATCCTGTTTTCAACCACTTTTGTTTTGTTGGCCGTAGAGGTCTGGCGTTGTTGATGTTTGATTAGCATGTTGTCTGGTTTCGGTGCCTCAACGGCTGCTCTGAAAAGTCAAGAAACCAACAACTATGACCTTATGCCTGGGTAAATCGGTTTTATAACAGTATGAGGTCGTTAGTGGTACTGCAGGCAGCGGTGAAAATTCTGATTATGATAATTGTGATAATGTCGACAACGTCAGTTCGTTTTTTTTTGTCATTCTGTTCCAGCAATATAATATTTTTTTTGTCATTTGTCATATTTAGGAATGTTGATTTATCTAGAACAGTGGTTCTTAAACTGTGGTATGCGGGGAAAATTCCCTTCTGGGCTCTGACTGAAGAAGTTCCAATGTTTGGCACCAAGTGGTTCCATTTACCGTCTGTGACGCGGATGTTTGTTAAAAGACAACTTCTGTGTCTCCACATTGCAAAAACAAACAAAAAAATGCATCATACTGGGAGAGATATAGATCAGTGGTTCTCAAACTGTGGTACGTGTACCACTGGTGCTCTCTAGTGGTATGCAGAATAAAATTCATATTTTCACATATACATTTTCAATTGAATAAATCTGAAACATACCATGTACAATGAATACTACATTTAAACATAAACATCTTTCTAAACATCTCACCTATGGTGGAAGCTAATAGTGAAGGTCTATGCTGCTATATGCTAATGTTGGTCATCATGGTGGTACTCAGAGAGATCAATGTTTTCTCAGGTGGTACAGAGTAGAACAAGTTTGAGAACCACTGATCTAGAATAATCATGATTAGTCCTGATTAATAAGGATTACAACCCACGGTTAAGGAGATATCATTTATACACCTATTACCAGATTTAGACAAAGAAAAGAAGGCAGTGAAGAATGAGTTTAAATAAGGGTCTGTTGTCTCACCCCTGTTCATTGTACACTCCCATGTTTTATCTTCTTAGAACTTGTCCTACAGTCTGCGCTGAAGATCCGTCTCAACCAACCAAGCACCTCTTAATATTTATCTCTGCTCAACGAACTTTGTACTTTGTGTTTGACAAAACTTCCACCCCTTTTCAACAACACCTCCTGTCATCCGCCCACCACCATCTAAATCTTCCCTGACTGAGTGATTAATCTCCTCAGCCTGAAACCAGATCCTCTGCTCAGACTCTCACACTGCTCACACACACCCCATGACTTCCATCTTTCATACCAGAGTGATTGTTGAAGCTCAGCTGTGACTCCATCAGGTCAGTCTGTCACTGTGTGACATGTTTCCCCAATAGGTGACCTAGAAAATTATAAAAGCATTTTAGAAGTTTAGCTTTTATGCAGAACTTTCACATGTAATTGTTTAATTTAAGGACAATTGTTGCCCGCGAGTCAAAAGGTTTGCCCACTACCATCTTTAGTGGTGAGAAAATGCCATGAAGTAAAATCATATATTAGGGTCAGCTTTTCATTCCATTTAAGATGACTATATACACATTACACATTAATTACATTTTGAGTACTGAGAAACATTTGAATATTAAGTTTAAAATGATTTAAATAAAGTCTTAATTTTTCCCTAACTTTCCTTTGTTTTTGTCTTTTTTGTAAACTCATAATGCTCATTAATCTAAATTAACGTGCGATGTTAAAAGAATTCAGGTTTACACACAAAATACGCTATATATATGTATATATATATATATATGTATACATATATACATATATACGTATATACATACATATATATATGTATATATATATATATATATACATATATATATACTGTATATACACACACATCCAGTATGTTATGCCTTTCCTTCCTCTGTCTCGGCCTGACAGTGTAACAGAAACATCCATCAGTTTCTTTGTCCATGCACTAGAATTCCTCCAAGAGGAACGAGTGCCTCTGATATGCATCAGTCTGTACAGTCAGGCTCACCGCAACAGTTGCAAAGACACAGATAGACACACAGACAGTAAGACAGACAGAAAAGGCACATCAGGCACCTGCTGTCGACAAGGTCCTCAGAAATTAATCCAACAAGTTAAAAACTTTATGGTCTTCAGGTGTAAAGTTTAATAAAAGTCACCCTGAAGGCTGGACTGTGATGATTAAAGTCGGAGGCGGTGAAATATCTTGGAGGTATCCTGTCTGAATCAGGACTGAGACTTCACCTCTCCCCGCTGGTAGCTTTCATCTGCTTGCTCTCCGACCTCGACAGCTCGGCCGTTTGCAGCCCCTAAGCTACCCGAGCAGAACGACTGTAAAATTCCCAAATTTGCAGCAGGTCAAGGGTTTATTGAAGACAGTGAGGATGTAGAGCACCGGAATGCAATTACTTGTGGTGTCCAAAGGTTATTCTGGGGAAGGGTCTAATTTTCTGCCCCTCAACTGGAAGAATCAGCGTTTTACTTATGATGGGATTCTCTAAATTATATCAGTATTTTGTGTATTTAATATGTATGTAAATATATACATTTACAACATATATATATATTTATGGCATGGTAGCGCAACGCTAGAATAGTAGTGTTTCATTAGCAAAGCAGTGCCCGGCTAGCTCAGTCGGTAGAGCATGAGACTCTTAATCTCAGGGTCGTGGGTTGGAGCCCCACGTCGGGTGGTTGACATTTTGAGATTTTCTCCATGCGATCAACAGTGTCGGGCAAACATTTAATGTTGATCATGCAGAGTTTGGTCACTTTTTTTTTTTTTTTTTAAGGAAATTCAAAAGTTGTGTTTAGATGTCAAAAGTCAACCTAAACTTCTGGGAAACTTTTCACCCCCAAGTGGTTCTATTTACAGATGTTTGTTAAAAGACAACTTAAACACATCATAAAAAGGAGGTATGTAGATAATACTTGTCTTGAACTTTTACTTTTACAGCACAGTGCTGTAGATTAAATACATTGCGGGTTACTGCTTCAGAAGGTGAAAGCTGAAAATGATTAATTTATGGAACATTAATATCAGACAGCCAGAAGCTGCTATGTGGGCGCAATCATCTTAAACACCCACAGTTAATAACAAATGTTGATTTAACTATGCAGCTGAGGATTTATCTCCAGTCTCTGTGGACAAAAAAAGAAAAATGAAATGAAATGAAAATGTCACATTTAATCAGCACTACATTCTGACAAAGTCTAAAAGGTTCAAATGAAACAACAACCCAAAATTAACTAAATTAGAAAAGTTAAACTGAGTTGCGACTCCACCCTACTGTCTGTCGGTTCACATGCCAGATAGCCTGTCTGCCGTCCGGCAGCTGATGACATGTTATCCGGCCTGCAGCTGTCTTCAGTCACTTCCTGCCGGTGGCTCGTCATAACTATACAGCGTCATGAGCAGCTCAGAGCAGAGGAAGAAATACTCTGTCATCTCATTGGTTTGCAGTTTGTGTTGCTGGGTAAGATTGTGTGAATGGATTATTATAAAGTAAAGTAATTTACTTTATAATAATCCTTTTTTTAAATAAGGGGATAATTAATCCATCGACTTCACTTAAAAAATAAAATGAAGACAAAATAGTCATGTAGTAATATTAGATGTCGATGGTCAATAGTATAAATGGTAGTTTAAATACTGTATATGCCGATTATATCAACGAATAAATTCAATTGAAAATGTTTTTTGTTTTTACAGTGGAGTAATACCATTTTGTGTATACACTGTTAGAGTTTCATACACATATGGATGTAAATCTTAATAAACTTACTCATATTTAGGCTGTGAAGGGCCGACCATGACCTCACTGGTCAAGTACGATCCTCTCACATGTTTCTTGTGGTTGTAAAAAAGCTGCTGCAGTGGACGAAAAAAACTCAGAAGACAAGAAAGTGATATGGAGGTCATGGCGTGGACATGAGGAAAAAAACACCAACAGCTGTCACTTGATGACCTTGACGAAGGAGATTGAGATTTAAATAAGTCTTTCTACAAGAGGACAAACAGTAAATATGTCTCACTGGTTTTGGAAAGATCGAAGACTTATTTGTATCCTGCGTAGATATGTTATGTTAGGATTAGCTCACACATTGGATCACAGAAAACTCCAGCTTGTTTCTCTCCAGGACCAGTTACAGAGATTACTACCATTTACCAGTTCACTGCTGTTCCAGATGTGTCTCACACGGCACTGTGTTCTGTCTAGTGAAATAAACTTTGCCCCCAAAAAGATGCTCTTCTGATCTTCTTTTTGCTTAGAGTTGACTAAGGTCTAATTGGAAAGATTTACTGCCGAGCTAAAAAAAAAAAAAACATCATAAAATCGTCACATTTACAGACCTGAAAACTAAACCTTCACTGCTGGCAAACATGACAGAGATGAGGATTAGCTCAAAATACGACGACTATTCTGGTCAGAAGTCAGGAAGAAGAAGGCGTGACCACTGGGCTTGAGACAAGATGACATGACATGAGGTGAAATAGATCAAATAAGATTATATAAGAGGCATGACATGATAAGAAGATATGATACAAGATGAAATCATGTGAAATAAGAAGAGGTGAGAGGGAGTAGAATGAGACTGATGATGAAATTAAATTAGATCAGTGGTTCTCAAAACTTTTTCTGCACTGTACCACCTGAGAAAACATTGATCTCTCTGAGTACCACCATGATGACCAACAATAGAATATAGCAGCATAGGCCTTCACTGTTCGCTTCCTATTTCACATTCTCACAAGCTACACATTTTCCCCACATACCACTAGAGAGTGCATACCACAGTTTGAGAACCACTGTTCTAAATAAATCAACATTCCTAAATAAAAAATCTGTATATTGCTGGAACAGAAAGACAAATTAAACAAACTGACGTTGTCGACATCATCACAATTATCACCATCAGAGGATATTTTAATGTTGACCGAGTGATATCTGAACAATTAGTATCACTCAAGTTTGAAACATATCCTCAGGCGGAGCTGTTAAACTGGCAGCTGTTATGAGGTTAAATCCGTGAACTCCTAGGAACCATGATGCGAGACGACCCAAAAAAAACCAACTCATCATCTGACATCTGTCTGGGTGAAATATAGACACTCTCTCATAAGTTGGTAGATAAACACCCAGTGTTTTCATAGTGTTGATTTGTACGACAACATCTTCAGACACACATTTTCTTTTTTTCCCAATTAAGATTCATGCTTTTTTTTCAAAACATCATCATTGTTGTCTCATTATAAAAAGGAGCAACATAATGCTTTGAGACGCTTTGAGAATATCAAAGATGCAGACCACCCTGTGCTCGGTCAACGAGGTGGCAGATGAATATGTGTCTCATGGGCCGTCTCCAGCTGGAACTAGCAACCCTGGGACAGATGGTACATGTCGCAGGTGCCATCTTCTAACACACTTCCTCTCCTCAGACATCCAACCACATGATGTCTTCTATAACCAGAACCAGTGAAAGTAAAAGTAGAAAAGATGAGATGTGACATGTATCAAACTCAATTATTCTCTGTCACACCCCCCAATTGTGGACAGTGGTAATGTTTTCACGCCCCCCGACGTTTCGTTTCGTTTACACACGTACTCTGTCTTGCTACGACTGACCTTCATTCCTCTTCTTTCTAGTGCAAACCTCCACCTCTCTAGGTTCTCTTCCAGCTGCTGCCTACTCTCACTACAGATCACAATGTCATCTGCAAACATCATAGTCCATGGGGACTCCTGTCTGACCTCATCTGTCAATCTGTCCATCACCCAGTCAGGAAATCTACCACTACTACTGAGATGCTGGTAACATGTATATTATCTATCTGTACAAAGCACTGTATGGGTTGCTGCCACCAAGTGACTGAAGGCTTGCATTGCAGCAGTGGTACTTTTGTGTCCATATGCGTGCCATATTCCATTGGAAGCCCCCCACGCTCCCCTCCCATAGCATCTCACTGCTCCCCACCAGAGGGGCCCACCACACTATTTGAGAAGTACTGAACTAAGTCCAGGAACAAAAAAAACGTCACTTCTGCAACAATAATTCCACCAAAGGGTGTCCTTGCTACAAGATCATGACCTGTTTCTTCCCCTTGTCTAAGACCTGGAATTGTGACTTACCTTACGCCCCTGCAATAGTTCTCACCCCCTAGGTGTGTCTGCCCCTGTGGTGACACAACTAGTACCATCTTTCAGTGAGAGAAAGATGTGTTGTTGCACATTTAGGGACAGTTTTTTTTTTTACTGTTACACTGAATAGAAAAACAACTCTCGTGTTTGACATACTGGCAAATACAACCCAGAATCATGGCTTCCAACAGAACTCTCCATCAGTTCATGCTAATACTAAACCATCATGAATGACAAGAGCAAGTAATTAGTTCCCAGCTTTAAAAAATAACGACTCCCCTGTGTGATGTACCAACACTTTCTTGGCCTTTGTTGATGTGGGATCTGGACCCAAACTGCTTAATCCCAGACGGTCTGGCGACTGCAGCTGCGAAAGCTGCAGGTCCAGCACACATTTGGTGCGGATGCTCGGCCGTACCTGCCAATTAGACGCTGGAGTGGCCACAGTAAGAGGCTGGACAGCGGAGAGAAAGAGATGATGCAGCAGTTCAGGAGGGAAGAGAGGGAGGTAATTAGTCACAGAGGAACAATAGATACTTACAGACAGATTCAGGAGGCAGTGCCAGAGTGTTCTCATTGGAGCACTAGAACCAGAGAGCATGAGCTGAGGCCTGATCCTCTTGCGCCCTCACGTGGTGAAATAATAACATTACAGGTTAGAAGTCGTCGCAGCTAAATATCAAGTGGTTTTTTTAAACAATATATATACATTCTTTGGACATATATAAAGAAAATTTAATAATAAAATCTTATTTATATGTTTTAAATGTTCACATATTGAAACCTGAAACATAACAACATGCAACCCAACTGGAACTCTGCATGGAGTTAATGAATCTGAGAGTTCTAATTTCACCAGTGGGTCTGAGTGAAGAAGATGAATGAGTAGAAATTGCTTCATCAACAAACGCAAAGTGTTTTATTAATTATGATGAACAACTCACAGTGCCGCGGGAGTAGCCGAGTTGATTGTGCTGCAGTTTTCTGCAGAGAGGAGCAGGTTTGAGAGAACATGGCTGCAACCCCCACCCCCACCCCCAAAATACGATGAATTGATTAATGCATATAATATAAGTGGGTAATTTATTAAAAGAAATTTACATAGAATGAAATGTAACCATTGTTTTTTTGTTTGTTTTTTTACTAGTGAAATTTGTATGCGCACATTTAAGAAGAAATTTTGTTTAGAACAAAAAAAACAACTCTACTTCCAAAATAGTTGAGTTGCCTTTGCAACAGTGTGTTAACAGTCGTAATAAAGAATGACATTTTTGCTGTTATTATACCATGTTAAGGGGAATAAAGTCATATTTAAAGCCCTTCTTAAATCATCAATGCTTCATCCATGTCCATTTGTACTAAATAAACCCATTTGACCAAAGAACTAATGGCGATTCCAGATGCTATGATAAGGTTTTATAATCAACTAAACTGAATTTAAAAAAAAATCACGATCCATTGCACTCGTTAAATGACCCTGAATAGGAAAATATCTTTGATTAAAAGTTAGATTTGTGCTAGGTTCGCAGTCTTGGACACTGAGTGAGTATGTGAAATAAAATTTCTCGCTCCGTTAAACATTTGACAGCATGGCCTGTTTGTAACTGAATGGAAATTAATCTGACATTTAGAAAAACCTTTGTGTAAATTGTTGGTTGGTTCAGGATTTACAGCTGTCGCCTCAAATGTCACGTCCTGGTTCATTGTTCCACTTGAATCTATACGAATTAAATAAAGCGATCTATAGTGTTTAAACCAAGTGCTGTGTCAGTATGTGGTGTTTTATATAAGCGAGTGTCAAATGCAGTATTATTGGGTAAGCATTCAGGCAGTGGTATGTGCTGAAGTTGAAGAGTGTCAAAGTAACAGGAAATAAAAGACGTTTGAAATACTGTATCTGCTTTGGTTACTGTAAGAAGTGAAAGTGAATTAGTTGTCATTGTGACACAGCACACCACTGCACACAAAAAAATGTGAGGTCTGCTTTTGACCCATCACCAAAGTGAGCAGAGGGCAGCTTAAGTGGACAGGGAGCAGTGTGGACAGTGCCATGCTCAGAGCACCTCAGTAGTAACTTGACAGCTGGTGGAACTCTAACATGAAACCTTCCGGACCCAAGACCGCTTCCTTAACCACTAACCCACTAAGAGGTCGTTACATAATTTCTCCGTTGTTATATCATTTCACCACTCATTCATTTATAGTTTCTCTGTTACACGGTCAATACCCATGTTGTCATTTAAACACACTGCTGGGAGACATTTTGATTTTACTGAAGCACCTGAAACCTTATAAAAACATGACGCACAGAAATAAATATCCTCCAACTTTATGAAGCTACATTTTTTTTTTTTTAACTTTTCGTATATATTTTGCTTGACATTTACCCATAATGATAATTTCATTATTTGGATCAGTCACAATTAAAACATGTGAAGATATATTTAAATGTATACTATATATTTATACATAAACATATACACAAATATATGAAAATATATGTAAACATATATTAACACATATATCACATTGTACATTTCATTTAGATAAAGTACTGTATTTCATTATTGAAAAGCAAATTTAAGACATAAATACTGAAAAATCAAGGCAATCATCAACAGACTCACAATCATAACCCACACGCCACATTCATCAACGTTTCCTTTTTAATTACTGAGAAACTGCAGTAATTACTGTTATCACAGTTTTCATCAGTCTCCTGGTTTTTCAAGTGACAGTCTCTTTCATCAGTCCAAATCAAATCGTATAATTTATATTTTTAATCATTTATTTACCGAAACACTCCACGGCCCGTTAAACTACATCAAGGTACAGCTTCATTACCAGCTTGTTTTTTTTTTCCGTTAATTTTAATATGGAATATTTGTGTTGTTGTTTTATTTTACGGCCTTGACAAACCTTTTTTGTTTTTCTTTATTTGTGTTTATTTCAATTATAGTTAGTATGTGTTGTGAGGAACTGGAGGTTAGCTTTATAAAGCTATGGTGAGTTCACTGTCCACCTTTGTGGAGGTAATGAGGCTGCTGCTGTTCAGACCTTGTCTTTATTTGTCCTGCTGGTGCAGTGAGTGGACCAGTGAACTTTATAGTCACAATTTGCTTTTCTGATATTTCCCCATTAAATGTAATGGGTTAGTTCTACATGGGGAATAAATTATGAGGAAAAATGGTGAAAATCTGGTTGTGGTCATTTTGAAATGATCTAAACCAGGGGTGTCAAACTCATTTTCACAGGGGGCCACATCAGCAATACAGTTCACCTTAAAAGGCCGGTTGTAAATGGAAGACTCTATAGATCAGGGGTCCCCAACCCCTGGTCCGCGGACCGGCACCAGTCTGAAGGTCATTTGAGGCAGTGGTGGCTTAGTGGTTAAGGAAGCAGACTTGGGTACGGAAGGTTGCAGGTTCGAATCCACTAGCTGCCAAGTTACCACTGAGGTGCTCTGAGCACATTTCGTTGTGTGCAGTAATGTGTGTCACAATGACAGAGAGTTCACTTTCCTTTCCTTATACCAGGAGGCAGCAGTGTGAAAAAATGTACTTAATTTTTACTAATTTACTTCATTAAAAAAAAAATCCAGTCTTATACACTTACTTATTTAAAGATAATCTGGCAATATTTTAAAACAATAGGTCATTCAGACACTGATACAAACAGATGTTTTATTTTGAAAATGTAATGACCCTTCGATGCTCAGTACCTTGGTACGTGTCTGTAGTAACAGGTGGTACTGACTGACCAGTCCTTAAAACCAAAAAAATCAGGGACCGCTGGTGTAGATGTAACTACTCTATAACAGACTGATACATGTTTCTGCAAGTGATATTTATTTGATTGATTATAAAAACTCCCATGGGCCGCACAAAATGGCCTTGTTGGGCCGCATTTGGCCCGCGGACCTTGACTTGTATGATCTAAACCACTGTTCCCCAAAGACTGGATCGCGACCCTCAGGTGGTTCCAAGAGATTTTTCTTTTTTGGGTGTCTGCATCTAACCTCAAAATAGCTGCCAGTTTAACAGCTCCACCTGTGGTTATGTTAAAAACCTGAGTAACACTAATTGTTCAGATATCACTCGGTCAGCATTAAAATATCCTCATTAATGTTCATTAATGGTCAAGTACACCTTTATTTTGTGTTTGTATTTTGTATTTTATAAAGGTTTGTGACTTTTAAAATATGGGTCTCTAGAAAAATAAAAAACAAAGTTTGGGAAACACTGATCTAAACGACAGAGACAGAGGTTTAACACAAAAATGATTTCCACTTCATCCATAAGTCTCAAACTCCTGGCTCACAGGTCGTTTCCTGCCCACACTCCAAACCCATCGGGTCTGTGGACAGATTTTAGTAATAATAATAATCTGATTCTTGCAGTTATATTTTTTTCAGCCGCCACCAGCTTATTTGAGATTTGGGACCGGAAGCTTAATCCTTCATATGGTCGCAGGGAGAAGTGGAGCTAAATCTATCGGGATACAACCTAAAAATCCATCCATCCATCTTTGTCCGCTAATCGATTACCAGGTCGCAGGGGCAGCAGTCTCCATGATCGCCACGCAAATCACACTGCACCGCACCAGCCCTTTGTGAACCTTCCTGTGGGTGGTGAGTGGACTGGAAGGCGGCAAAACCACCCTAACCGGAATTAGATCTTGCCCAGGAGGTGAACCCTGGGGGCTCCACATCAATGACAAAGACACTGCCTCTGGCCCGACGCGCCACCCACAACCTAACGATTTCACCAGTATTTTGTCTGGCTTAATACAAAGACGACCCACAACCATTCAAACTTGTATTCACACAACTGCCTGTACAGGACTCATGACAAATGCCAACTCCATACAGCTAATACCAGGACTTAAATCAATAACCATTGAGCAAGGAGTACAAATCCCATGACAAATTCAGGTTCTATTTTTTCCCCAACTGTATAAAAAAGTTAAAAATTACATAACATACAGCAGAAAAATTTGCTCCAAGTCCTGGACCCACCACTACTGCCATTTACAGCAGCTGGTAGCTCTTAGTAGGCCATTCCTTCACCTGCAGTAAAAAGAGAAACACGACCACACTCCCTCAACTGAACTCACTCCGAGCCACGGCTACTTTGTATTGGTTGCGAATTATACAAAAGAAAGAAGAAGAGGAAATGAATTTCATTTTTTTTCTGCTTCTTTGGTTCTTAGAATAGAAGCAGAATGTCCAGTAATCCAAACTGTCCCCCGAGAGCAGGATATTATATAAGCTGTCTATAAAACTCTGAAATATGGCTTCAAAGCAACGCACCGGTGCCAACCTCAACAATCAATGTGGTCTCTCTTCCAAAAATCCACGGCAGCCACTTGTATTTCCACACAGATCATTGTTGACTTTCACAAAACTCAGCTCTAAAAGATGCTGAGCAGTGGAAAAATGACAAATCACTCCACCTGGAAAAGTACTGCTCAGGTTATGCATCACATCACGGACAAAGGGGGGTTACGAGGGTGGGGGGGGGGCGCAAAAATATGTGATGTCGGTAATAAATGAGCATAGTATTTTTAGGAAACATGGCAGAAAGCGAACGCAACACAGCCAAGCCAAACAGCCTCAGACCCCCACCAGGTTTTTGGATGTAATTGATCCAGTGTGCAATATGTTTGGCCGTTTGGATATAAAACTGCAGGGAGCCACATGCACTCGACAAGTCTGGCACTGGGTGAACGGCTAATGTGTGCAGAACAGTGAGTGTTCGGATGGCTGACAGAGAAGAGATGGATGAAGGATCGAACATGTGTGTGTGAGAGGAAACTGCAGGAAAATGTCTGTTATATAAGAATTAAAGAACGTCACTTCACGTCACCTCAAGGTTAGCTGACCAGCTCCAGATCAATGATATATGGAACAAAGGATATTTATCAGTGGGACAGAGTGGTGCATGTTTTGGGGTCACAATTTACATTTTCAATACTATTTGTCATATACAAATACATGTACCGTATTTTTCAGACCATAAGGCGCAATATCTATGAACGGGGATATTT